GGCGGGGGCGGGGGCGCGGCCTGACCACCCGCGTCCCCGCAGACTGTGTGCGCGCACTTCCGCCGGGCGCCCATCCCCGCCGAGCTGCGCGCCGTGCGCCGCTACCTGGACAGCGCGCTGCAGGAGAAGGAGTTCAAGTACACGTGTCCGCACCGCGCCGAGATCTTGGCCGCCTACCGGCCCGCCGTGCAGCCCCGCTAGCGCCCGCCCGCCCCCTTTATAAAGGTTCTCTGCTCCCAACGTGCGTGTTCTGACATCCAGGGACAAGAGGCCCAGGCTACTGCCACCCCGCGCCCACGGCGGACGCTCAGGTCACGATGACATCAGTGACAAGGCCGGGAGCCCAGGGCGGGGGCGCGGCACAGCCTCCCACGCCGAGCCCGCCAGAGGCCAGGGCGCCCAGCGCAGAAGCGGAGAGGCGAGGCCCCGGTATCTGGGGGACTGGATGGGGCTCCCAAACCAGTCAGGCCAGGAGAGGCGGGGCTCAGAATGGCCGAGCTGGGCGGGAATCAGAGCTGGACGAGCGTGGTCAAGTGGGTGCGGCAGGCCCGCATTCCTGGGCTGCAGGCTGTGCCAGCCCCCTCCTAGCAGGGTCGCAGGGGCAGGAGTGGTCTGGGTCCTGCCTGGGCGGGGTCTGGAAGGGTGCAGCAGAGTTCCAAGACCCGGGTGCCTGTGCCTGGCTGGGCCCCTCAGCTCCGGGGCTGGCCGTGCAGGAATAGCAGGATGGGTCTGACCAGTCGAGGAGCCTTTTCAGGGAACAGGGAGCCTGGCCTGCCTGTTTCCATCCCGGGCCTCGCCCACAGGGCACCCCGGGGAGCTCCCTGTCCCCTCCACAGGCCAATCCCAAGCCAGAGCCTCGACCTGAGGGCCGTTTATTAGATGGCTAGGAAGGACAGGGGAGCAGCAGCACAGTAAGTGGGTCCCGCGGGCCGTGTCCCCTCCCACGCAGACTCCTTGAAAGGCCTAGTGTCCTGCTGTTCCTTCAGGGCTCGTCAAAGTCCACGCCACCGGCCGGTTTCTTGCTGGGAGGGAAGAAGGGGGTGCAGTGGAGGTGTGACAGAAGCGGCAGGGGCCCAGGTGAGCAGGGACAGGTGGGCAGGTACCTCTTGAAGCCAGGGTTGATGAGGGACTCCCCAGGACAGCGTCTCCTGACCCCAGCTCCAGGGCCGCCGCCTCGCTGGGGATCGGAGTCTGGGGAAACACGAGGGGGGATTCCTGCACCAGGAGCACCCTGCACAACCCCGCTGCATACACACAGCCTCTCTGGAGCTCGAGGCTTATGTGGGCACAGAGCTCCGGAGGAAGGAGAGAGACCCAGCCCACCCCCAGATTCACACCCTACCTGGTAAGAAGAGCGGAGGCCCTGCCGGCCGGGGGCTCTTCCTGGGACTGGCAGCTGTCTCTTCCACAGCTGGGGAGAAAGCGAAGGCACCCCACTCACTGCTGGGAGTGGGGCACACACGGGCAGGGGTCCAGTGAGGGTACAGGTGCCCTCGGCCACCCTACCTGCCAGGCGCTGTTCCAGGCTGCACACGCGCTGTGCCAGGTCCAGGGTCAGCGCCTGCAGCCTGGGGACTGCCTCAGGGCCGGGCACCTTGGAGAGGTCAAAGGTCAGCGTCGGGAGAGGCCCAGAGAGGGTCAGGGAGGCGCTGTCCTCCTGCAGGCTCAGGGCGACGGCTTGCTGCTGGCAGGCGGTCCTGGGGAGACGCCTGGGTGCTGGTGCCCGGGCCCAGCCCCCCAACCCCACTTTCCCACCCCACCCCATCTCCGGCTCAGGCTCACCTGAACCGCGCGGCGAGGTCCTCGTGCACACCCAGGCCGCTGCAGGCTTTCTGCGGGCACAGGGCCCCGTCAATAGCTATCCGGGCCCCCGGACCCAGGGGTGTCGTCCCAAACCCGCGCGCCCCGGGACACCCGAGCCCCCGGGCCGGTACGCACGCGCGCGGCCTCGCTGTCCTGCGGGAGGCGGGCGCTCCAGAGCTCCACGCCGTCCGTCACGCTGGGGAGAGGGGGCGTCAAGCGCAGCCGCCGGGGTGCGCCCCCAGCCCACTCGGATCCCACTCACTCACTGGAGGTGGAAGACGCCACGATCCCCGGCCCCGCTACCCTCCGGCTCGCAGTAGCACACGAAGCGGGGAGGCCCCGGGCCCGGAGGCAGCGTGCAGAGCGGAGGCGACAGTGGCGGCGGCGGCGGGACCATGTTGACAGTTCCGCGCGCGCGGGCCCAGCGCGCCTGCGCAGAAGGCCGGCCTCGGAGGTCTGGCGGGCCGGACGTGGGGCTTAGGGCGCCTGCGCGGGGCGGGAGGCGGGTAGGGCTGTCTGGCCCCGGGGCGGTGCTAGCGGCGTGCGGGGCGGGGCTTGGTATGGGGCGGAGCTAACCGCGGACCGGTGGGCGGGGCCGGCGGGCGCTTGACTCGCTGTGGGCGGTGTCCTGCCCTCCGGCCACGCCGGCTGTGAGATCCTCGGCGCGACCCTGGCTTTGGCCCTCGCGCCCGCGCAGAGCCGTCCTCGGGTGCCCCGTCTGCGCCCTTGTCCCCACCGAGTCCGGGGTTCCGTCTGTGGCCTCCAAGCTGTTGGCTGCTTGTCTCCCCTATGAGCCTCACATCGCTTTAGAGACGACGCAAACCTTCCTAGGAACTAAGTGTCACGAGCGCAAACCCAAAACGAGGGACACGGGGCGGCATCTGTTCCCCGCGTGGTCGCGGCCTCGAGGATGCGCTCAGGTGGCGCCAGGGGCCTGCCCGGCCGGCGGGAGCCACAGCAGGACGGCACTGTGCTCGCAGCAGTTGCCCATGGGCTTTGGCTTGGACAGGAGGCGAGGGGACCCAGGGGGCCGGCGGCGCACACGGGTCAGCCCGGGGCTCCTGCGCCGGCCTCGCACAGCCTCGCCTCCTTCATCCTACCCTGGGGTCCCACCCCAACCGAACAGTCTCCGCGAGCAGGGCCGCTGCTCGAGGCCGCCCAGCCCAGCCCTCTCCTGAGTCAACACTAAGTCTCCTGCCGGTCTTGTTCGAGCACGTTCCACTTTACTCATCCTGCCAGACACCTGGGGCAGCCCTACAGATGCTCCTGCATTTACACGGGCATGTCATCTCCTCCCCTCTGACTTCCTCCTGGCTGTCACGTCTCCCTCTGTCTGAAATGGTGCAAGGTGGCACTAGAAGCCCAGAGCTAGAGATGGGGGAGGCAGCCAGGGCCTGGGGTTCCCGAGGTCAAGAATCCAAGCACGGTGGAATTTGAGCCGAAGACTGCAGAGTGAGCTAGGCGGACAGCTTGGAGGACAGCATTCCAGGTAGGGGCAGCTTGTGCAAAAGCCTAGGGGGAGAGCTGGAGAGGCACGCAGAGAAGGTGGTGCCTGAGGAAAGCATGTCACGAAAGGCCTGTCATCCGGCCATCATGAGGACTTTGATCTGACTTTCAGCGAGGGGGACCCACCGGTGGGGGCGGAGGTTCTGAGCAGAGAGCAAGAATCCACGGTTTGTAAACACTACGTCCCCTGGCTTCAGGGTGGAGAGCCGGCTGAGGACTGCCCCCGTGTGGCCAGAGAAGGGTACGGCAGGGCCCGCCAAGTCTAGGCTGAGTTGCGGAGGGGCTGCTTCATCCCGGGAGAAAGGGGCGGGCGCCGAGGCTGTGGAGGGCAGCCGGCACTTCCCCTCCAGCAGGTGCTGGAGCGTTGGGTGGAGACCAGAGACCTTCGGGGCGGAGCACAAAGCTGTCCCCTGATCCCTGCTGCTGCCCAGGCAGCACCTGCTGCCCCAGCTCGCGGTCCACGTGGAGTTGGAGTGGATGGAGGGGTGGAGCGGGTGGCAGTTGGAGCTCGGCGTCTCTCAGCGGCCACCCCTCCGTGGGGCTCAGCACGCAGGCACAGGGGAGCAGGGCCTTTGCCCCCAGGGCACAGCCTGGCATAGCTTGTGGCTGCCTGTACTCTGGGGTGGAGATTCCTTATTCCTGTGACCACTCAGCCCCAAGCAGGAACAGAGGGTCAGCAAGTGAGGATCATATTTTTAGTGAAAAATTTCCAAGCCCTGAGATAATAGCATAAGGATCCCCAGCTGGAAAAACTGTCAATATTTTGACAAACTTACAACCTGCCTTATTAATTTTTTGCCAAGCCATTTACATTTGCATTTTACCTTCAAATTTTTTGGGCAGGGCTCTTAACAGGACTGTTGTCCTAGCTGGGCGTGGTGGCACACGCCTGTAATCACAGCACTCGGGAGGCTGAGGCAGGAGGATCGTTGCAAGTTCAAGACAGTCCAGGCTACAAAGTGAGCTCAAGGCCAGCCTCAACTGCATAATGAGCCCCTGTCTCAAAATAGACCAAAAAAAGAAAAAACAAAACAAAACAAAAAAAAACTATTGTCCTTTGTAAACATGGCAGCACAAAGTTTTTGAAGCACTCCTCCAGTCCTCTCCCCCGTGCTCTTGGCTGGCAGGGATGGCCGAGCTGGGGGTCACTCACCTGACTCTGCACGACACCAGGCAAGGTTGCATGGAACAGGCACAGGAAGGGGTGCTACACCCAGAGTCAGGCTCAGGGAAACTGGAGGACCAGGAGGGCTCCCAGCCACACAGCAGCCTGTCCAGCACCAGGCTTCATGCTGCCCTTGGAGACCCCAAAGGCCCAGCCCATCACCAGTGGCTGCCAGAGCCCAGGGCACATGTGCTACTGCACCCGTTTGGTGGGCCCTGGCCCTCCCTCCAAGGAGCCAGGAAGGCCCCTTTGATGCTCGATTCTGGCCCTGTCTCTGCCCTGGCCTCAGCTAAGCCAGCCCCTCCTGGGCTGACCCCTGTGCAGGAACCCAGGGGTAGGGGCCACCCCACCACCCACCGTGCCCATCCCCCAAAAAGCACACCTCAGATGACTCTCTAAGACCATTTATTGTGTTTGGGGAGCTGGGGAGAGAAGTGGGGTACATTTTGCAGAGGACACAGCATGGCTCAGCTCCCGCCAGCAGTGGACCTGGATCCCTCACTGCAAAACAAGCAGCAGGTGCCTGGCACTGTCCCTGGCCAGGGCCTCGACGCTGTCTTGTGGTACCCAGCCCTCCCAGCCTCTTCCTGGCCCAAGAGGGAGCACCCCATGGGGAGCCCCACCCAGGGAGTCCGCTGTCTGCACAGTACTCACCTGGGACGTCATGCTGGTACACTGCTCTGTGGGAGAGAATGGGCTTCAGGCACCCCTCGTGCCCCCTTGCCCTGGGGCCCCCACCCTCCAGCAGCCACTCTTCCTGGGCACTTCTGTCCGCTCTGGGGTCAGTTCAGTAAGTCACAGGGCCTGGCCTGCCAACCTGGAGTCTGGGGCCCCCTCGGCTCCCGCGGCCTGGAGCTGGGGCAGGGGGTAGTGCTTACCCGATTTGGGCAGCAGGGCTCCCTGGCTGGGGTTCAGGCCCACTTCAGATACCAACTGCTGCATCTTCTGGGCGCCTTCAGGAAACGGCACTGGGGCGCGGGCTGGGGGCAGGAGGGCAGGTGAGCCCAGAAGGGCAGGGGCAGAGAGGGGCCTGGGTGATCCCCAGGGGACACACAGAGACATGGTCCACCGGCAGGAAGCAGCGACACCCCAACCCGACCCAGGCAGCTCCAGGGAGAGGCCCATGCCCAGCGTCCAGAGCGTGGCAGTCCCTCTCCGCGCACCGTAGAGCTGCACCCACACGTGCCATGCGCCCACCTTCTGCGTCTCGATGTACATCACTGCGAAGCGCTCGTAGTCGGTAAAGGCCATGCGGATGTCGGTCTGGGCCATGGCTGGGAGCCAGAGAGATGCTGAGCCGCCCGTCCATCTCGCCCTTGGTGAAGGTTGTCTCTATCTTCTGGCACCCGCCATCGGGCCTGGGGAACCTCACGCCTGAGCATCGCCCCTGCTGGACCTTGCCCTCTCTCCCCTCTCCCAGGCGCCTGACCACCCGCAAAGCCTTCAGGAGCCTGCGGGGTGCTATAGGCCAGCGGGTCCTGCCGCTGGGCTGGCTGTGCATCCTTGCTAAGCACACATGGAGTGCAGCCACCCAAGCCTTATACAGACACGCAGACACGCAGACACATGCAGGACACATGCACGTGCAGACACATGGACACACAGTCAATGACCCCCCAGGCTCTGGTCCTCCTGAGGAGCAGGGGCACCCAACTCGGGCTGTGGGAGCCTTTGGTCTGTCCCCATGGGGTGTCAGGACCACCTTGGTTCCTGCTGGCCTTCATGTGGCTTTGCACTGGCCCTCACTGGAGGCCAGATTTGAGGTGAGGCCATGGGGTCACTTACGTGGGGTACCCAAACTTAAGAGCCAGGTCACCGCTGGTCAAGGAAGTCACTGAGACCACAGGCATCTTCATGCCATCCTTGGAGTCCTGGAAGCCCTGGTCGTCCGACACAGCCCCAACTACATACCAGATGCCCTGAAGGAAGGGTAGGAAGGGCAGGAGGGCTGGGAGGTGGCCCTGCACCTGGGCAAGCCCACCACACCCGGCCTGGGCACAGCCACTCCCCCAGCAGCACCCAGCTAGGGATGGGGCAGCTGCTGTCCACCCAGCTGCAGGCCCTGACGGCGGTGGGAGTCACCATCCACAGTTGGGGAGTTGTGAAGCTCCCGAGTCAGAGGGCCTGAGGTGAGGAAACAGGTGGGGCAGGGTCACCCATGAGGATGGGGAGTGGGAGTGGGCGCACCTTGGTGGGGTCAAAGTTGGCTTGGATGGGCACCTGGGCCTGGCCTGGGGACAGCTGGAGCAGGGTGAGAGCAGCAGCCAGCACAGGGGACAGCATGGTGGAGGTGCGTCTGGGCACGAGGCATGCAGCAGCCTCTTCTCCGTGGCCTTTATGTCTCCTGAGATGCCCTGGGGCAGCCAGCCCGGGATACAGCCCGACAGGCTGCGATCCAGTCACACCCTGCAGCTCCCAGCCCACCCTGCCAGCTCCTGCTTCCTGCCTGGCGGCTGGGGCTGGTGGTCATGGCAGCCTCTGGCCCTCTGCCCTGTCTGGCTGGCCCCCAAGCCCCATACCTAGCATAGCCCAGGCCCCTCGTCCAGAAAGCCCACCCAGAGATGACCCCACCTGTGAGCTGGGGGCAGGGCTCAGGTGAGGGATCCTGTGGAAGCCAAGGGGAGCAGGTGCGGGTGGCCGAGCCCAGCCCACTCTGTCACTGTCCTGGTGGGGGCCGCAGATTCTCTAGCACCTTCCAAACAAATGTTCCTTGTCCCCTCAAACCCAGGCCTCTGCCCAATCTGAGTGCATTAATCCCACAGTTTGACAACCCGGTCAGCGCCAAAGTGCCCACACTTCTTGCCCAGGGGGTGGACACTGCCTTAGGGATTAGCTGCTGAGTAACTGACCCCACCAGCCCAGCCCAGGCTTGGTGGTCAGCCCTGGCCCAGCAGCAGCTTGGGGGCCAGCATGAGGCAATAGGAGCCGTGGCGAGGTCAGGGCCCTGTGCAGGGCTGTGAGTGCCGGACAGTGCCCCTTAGCTGTCCTGGCTCAGGGTCCCACCATGAGCAAATGCCCCTTAGATGACCTCATGCAGAGATGTTACAGGGGTGACTCAGGTGTCCTGAGAACAGACAGGCAGGGCGGGCTCTGATTTGCTTCCATTTATTTCTCGGATCTGGGGTAAAGTGGGAGGTGCAGAGGCTTTGGGGAGCTCAGGCGAGGGTCTCGGAGGAAGGTGTGGAGCAGAGGAGTCCTGAGGGCTGGACCACCTGGGGGAGAGCGGATGGATGCGTATGTGGGGCCCAGTAGGTGCTTCCGGCAGTGCAAGCCTCCCTGCTGAGGGCCTGCAGAGCCTGCCCCTCTGCCATCAGAGCTATGCCACCCGTCCACCAGCGCAAAGTCCGCTGGCCTCCCTGCCTCTGCCTCCCCATCCAGGCTCCTGAAGATCCCTGCCCAGGAGCCAGGGACCCCACTGCAGGATGGGGCCCTGGTACCAGCACCCCTCCCCCTCCCCCATGAGCCCTTGGGGTTGGCCCAGCTCTGGTGACTGGGACCAGGTTTTCTTTCTGACAGTCACACCAGATATCCACTCTGATCAGGGGCTCCTGTGGGCCCCCTCGCCCCCCACAGAGGTAGCAGATGTGTGTGGAATGTGTCAGGGAGTGGGTCCCTGACTCACTCACCTACTCCTCTTCCTTCAGGCACTTATCTGCCAAGAAAGAAGCCCAGGGCCACCGTCAGCCCCAGGCCAAGCTGGGTTCCCATGGGGCTGCCTGGCCCCCTAACACTGAGGAACCTCCCCACAAAGCCCTGGGAAGCTGGTCTGACAGAGTCCCCAAACTGCAAAGACCCACCCCACCCCTCCCAGCCCCGCTCCTCAGAATGAAGGCAGTGGTCTTCCTTCCCTGGTGTCCCCATGGGCACCCCACCCCCAGGCCAGGCCCTGGCATCCTGGGCATGACAGCTGGGTACTGGTGTCCATGGGGAGAGGCTTCTAGTGGAGGGGGCTGCAGGTAGAGTTCAGAGGGCTGGGGACAGAGTGACAGGCAGGTCACTGGTGGCAGGGCAGGCCAGCCCCTCCCCACCTGTCCCGGGTCTACTCAGGGGACCGCCTACCTCTAATCCGACCCTAATCCCTTGGGCAGAGCGGCCCCCTCACCTGTTTTCGGCAGGAAGACAATGATGTCCTCTGTGAAGCCCTGGGCCTCGCAGAAGGCAGAGAATTTCTCCTTCAGTTCAGCCCGCGGGGTCTGGGTGCGGCCTGGGCAGGTGGAGAGGGGCCACCTCAGTGGTCTGAGTCTTGGGGACCTCCCGAGGCCCTCCCCGGAGGGCCAGGCCCCAGTCTGTACCAACCCTGCCCAGGGCTGGGCACCTACTATAGAGTGTGGCCATGTGGAAGTCATGGTCGATGCCCTTGGTGTCCACCAGTGCATACTCACTGTAGTTGATCTCCACCACAGACACCAAGGAGGTGCGGCCCCAGCCTGGGGACCAGAGACAGTGGTCAGGACCCCAAGCCCCCAGCCACCCCTGCTTGGGGAAGGCTGCCCCCATGGAGGAGCCACGGGCTGTGCACCCAGGCCCCCCCAGGAAGCTCCCCTGTGCTTGTCCGTCCCCCACAGGGCAGGCCAGCTCCCTGCTGCCTGTCACACAGCCCAGGAACTGTGTCCCAGACCAGAAGTCCTGGGAGACAGGGAGTGCCCAGGCTTGGAAAATCAGGTCACAAAGCCCTTGCCCAGAATGGGGCGG